TTCAACATTTGGATGAAGACTTTTAATTAGCACCAAATGGCAAATATATATATATATATATATATATATATATGATACATGATCCTTTGACACTAGTGTCAAATTTGAAATTTGACATCTCATATGAGAGTCATTAGATAAAAAAAGATCAATGGTGTCACATGCTTACAAATCAGAGCCGTTGATCTTTTTTAATCTAACTGCTCTCAGAGGAGATGTCAAACTTCAAATTTGACACCGGTGTCAAAGGATCATACCTCTCTATGTATATATATATTAGGGTTTTATTAATCTCATGTTAAAGGAGATAATTATCTCATGTCATAGAGACAAACCAGTGGGCTCCACCACCTGAAAAAAGAAAAAAGAAAAAAAAAGTGACACAATTATCGAAGAGTGTGTAGGAAAGAAAACTTATGTCATGTGACATAAGAATAGTTTTTCCCATATATATATATATATATATATATATATATATATATATATATGAAGAATGTTATATTTACAAACTTTTTGTTTACATTCTTATAAACTATACTAAGTAATACTTAGTGTAATTTGTTAAAAAAAAGTGTAAATGGATATTCCTATATATATATATATATATGAGTTGTATAGCTTTCCTGTAACTCTGTACAAAAAAACTTTTGCAGCAGCATTATATAAAGCCAGGATCAGTGAGACTCATTTTTATGTGTCTGCCACATCAAATAAAGGTGTGCAGTTACAGTTACTGTAGAAAAAGGCACCATATATATATATATAACATTTACATAAAAGTGACAACAGAAGGCCAGAAGGTCACTGAAAAATATAAGGATAAGGTTTGTGCACCGGATTTTTTCTTCTTCTTCAAGAATGGAAGACAACTACTGCAAAGTATTTTGTGTATGACAGTGTTCTATTATTCATTCATAAGAAGGAAGAAAACAAACGCCCCAAATAATGAAATAACTGAGATAAGGGACAATACATATATTTTGGACTTTGTGCTGAGATATTGGAGGTATCTATTTATCAATTTGAGTGGCCTGTCCTAAAAATGAGGGGATAAAATGATTTTTTATTTTTAGATAACTTGTAAATATTTCCGCACAATCTTTTTTGCCATCTTGTTTTCGGAATACGGCTTATGAAACTAGTTTTTTATTAAGACAAATGGTGCATTAGACCACTGTTAGTTTCACTCGAGGAAGGGTGAGACTAACTCCTCCTCGAAGGAGAGACAATTTCTCTTTAATCCTCAAAGAATTTTAAGAATTTACTTTGATCAAGATTTGAACCAAGCAAATATTTGGACAGTCAGTTGCCAACTGAAAGTAACTTCGGGGGTTAGAACTTTATGATTCTTGCATGCTGTAGATGAAAACTTGTGTTGGTGACTGATTATGGGCTAGAATAGTAATTTTCTTTAAAAAAAATAGCATATAGTCACCTCACCAGAACACATGCAATCTTTTTCCTGCAACCAAAGCAAATTGTGCTCTTACCTTTTATATAAAGAATCAATCACCCACTGACAGTGAGGGGTCTCAATAGCTAACATCAAGCTTAATAGTGATGAAACTGTTATCTTACTGACATTTGTGAAAAAAAAAAAAAAAAACACTGGGAAGGACTATTTGAAAGGATAATTGGAAATTGAAATGGAGTGGGGGTTTGTGGTGGATGAGTTCTCTTTTTTGTTTTCTTACTATAATGGGTAGGCAAGTCGATCTTGTCACATCTTGGTGTTTCAGTTTTCCTTCTTTGGAAGTTGCGGTGTATTATTTATACCAGTACAAACACATTAGTGGCAGGTTTGACCTTGAAAGGTACGTAAGGAGGTTAAAATGCATTCACGGCGCATAAAGATCCACAAGTGCATTTTAGAACCTTCACAATTATTATAACAATCTTATGGTTGCAAGGTGAATCATGTCCTTTAAACTTGTAGGTACTAGTTGCAATGTGGTCCTTCTGCTTGATAAGCATTTGTTTGCTTCTTCTAATAGAAGTGGGTGGATTGAGTTCTTCCAACCTCTTCTTAATTGTGTCTTTGTCTATAGTATATCTTCTCCCATGGGCTATAAGGAATTCTTCAGAGAATCTTAGAAGGCCTCTGTCTTTTTACTGGCGCGGACTACTCAAAGAAAACAACAACAACAATAATTCTAATGTGAGGCTAATGAACTTTTGTTATGGAATCAGCAATTAAAATTTTGGTTTTATGAGGATATATATAATTTTTATTTCAAGGTGTCTACATCAATTTGGATGAGATTAATTCCATTCGTAAAGATTTTTATTACTGGTTCCAAGTTGCTTCGCTTAGGAATCGAATATTACCAAGTGTACCACTCTTGGGATCAAGAGATATAAGTTTTATGATCAATGAATGAGGGGAAGTGGGGTTATATGAAGAGTGTGGAATTACTACATTTCTGCTATGAATTATGCCTTTTTTCTAATAATGACTTTAAACAGGTCTAAAAATGACATTCATTATTACTGCTATATACCTATATTTTTCCTACTCTGTATTGGCTTTCAATTTCATTGCAATGTTTTAAATGCTTGCTGGGTCATTTCTGCCCTGGAAACTGATTCTACTGCATATCATTGTGTTTGTATTTCCATTTTGGCCTTTTCCATATCTTTCAAGTTGAGATGCTTCTTTATTAGATGGAGTGGCATTAAATCAATTTTCACCTAAACAATTTTAATTACTTGAAGGTGTTGAATGTCTCCATTAGAAAAATCTATAAATTAGTTTTATTTTCATCGAGAAGGATTTTAAGAAAGTGAGATAACTCCCTCATTTATATATATAATCCAAATAAAATTATCTTTTTTTCATGACTCCATCATCACCTTATTATCATAATCTATCTAATCTATTTTTTTTTTATTTTATACCTGTTCTATAGAACATTGTTATTTAATCAGCATTTTTCGCTATAAAATATATTTTTATCAATTATAATACCCTACCTTATCTCAATTGACACACAAACAAAAAATTAATGCCAAAGACAGATAATAAGCAATCTTTAATGTCCAATGAAATAAAAGGTTTAAATTGCTAATAAAGATCACATAAAATTTATTTAAAAAGAAGGATCTTTATATTCCACATAATTGACAAAAATACTTTAAACAAAGCAATAATCACTCGTTAACAATTAATAGTTCTTTATTTCATTCCCAACTTTATATATTTTTATTAAAAAGAACTTTATTAGTTATTATTCATCACTTAGTAAAAACAAACAACTTCTCAATAAGTTTTACCAAAAAAAGAAAAAAAATCTCAATAATAAGCATTTAGTTATTTACAACTTTCGTTCTAACATAATATATCTCATATATATACCTTCATTTATAATTATTATTATTATTGACAACTATTGTTTTAACAATTCTTTTGTTTGTTGAGGGAAATTTAATGATCATTTTCTCTAAATAAATTTTATATTCTTAAGATTGAATATTCCTCCTTACCCTGAGGTTAATTTTCCCATAGGAAAGATCCAGTACAGTTAAATATTCTGAATGGGGATTGGCCAAAACAATCACCACGTTCACGACATTGTTCTAAAATTAGAAACATCATGATTGAGTGTTACATTGATACACTAACTTATATTGAATTAAAGACAAATTATGATATGAAAACGGCGAGTAAAAGGTCAATTACCTGTCACTTTTCCCTGAAAAATACAAATAGTCGTTGATTCTCAGACAACGTAATGCCCCCAAAGTAGCACAATATCCTTCTTAATAGGTCTAAGTCAGATAATTAATTATTATTGTCCGTAATAATGTTATATATGTAAGATTCTTCAATAGTTCAAACGTAACATCAATGCATTGCTGTACGAAATCCCTATAACAAATTAGTTAATGACGTGCTATATAAATTTGACTTTAATTAGTGGAGGTCATCATTCAGTGTTAAATTAGCCATTTCATGGAGAAAATATATATACCTACCTAGAATTCAATTTTTCTTAGCTTAATTGGGTTTTGACTAACAGTAAATTACCAACAGAGAAAAATAAGATCTACAGTTCTCATTTGAGGGGATCAGATTGAGAGAAGAAGTCATAAATTAAAATTTTTATAAACGAAGAAATGACATTAATTAAGAAGATATTTAATATAGGTACTAACAAGAGTCAAAGTAGGCCCATGCAATGAGTGAGGAAAGGAGGGCTAGCACAACCCTCAAAAGTTTCCTTAAAACCTTAAAATAATCTTTGACTTCTCAAAATGAAATTCCTAACCCTGGTTAATGGAAACAAATGTGTAAGTATCAATGTAATAAAATAGGTCCATAAAAAGAAACATGCAAGAGGTTGATTCAAATTTCAAACTATAAAACTCTTGCGGTGAATGGAAAAAGTATGTGTATTCCCCATTACTCAAAAAGAGATGGATTTAAACAATTTGCTCGGTTACATTGACTTGCACGCGAGAGCTAAGGAGAGATTTTCATTTAGATGATTAAGACAAAAATTAGATGCATAAACAAACACACTCTCTTTGCCTCTCTCTCTCTATAATTTTCTACTCTTAATTACTCTTCGAGAAGTCTTGATCTGAATGAGACTACTTATCATACATATAGTTACTTCAACAAATTAAACAAAAAAAATGCACCACTTCTTTCCAAGTCTGAACAAAGATAAATATATAAGAGATTAGATTCAAACTTGAAATTTAAAAGAACATTATGTTTGGTTTAGCTTTCAGAAATCAAAAGCCAAAGCTTCAAGACTTTACTATACTGCTATATGATGCGGCTTATTAGGCTACATATTATAATAAATCAACCACATGGAACCTAAAAACTGGCATGGAATTAAAAATAAGAAACCATTATAAAGTAATAATTATTAATAAAGTATATATTAAAACACATGTCTATGCATTCACGGGATTAATTTGTAGCAAAAAATAATTAGTGAAAATAATTACTAATTCTAATCATAAATATAATATTATTATTAGGATGAAAACACAAAACAGTTTTCCATAATAATACACACTATAGGCACGCCGTGAAAGGTTGTTGCGGCGGAAGCTCAGCCTCCGGAAACGCCGTGATTTCGCCGGAGGAAGTCCACAAGTTGCTGTTCATGAGCTCCGGCAGCTCTATCTCACCCCAAAAATCATCGCCGCCGCTGTCGCCATCGCCGTCGGAAGTAATGCTGCTCTTCTCAGGCGAAGCGGCCTTCATCATCATGTGAGCCGCCTTGGCAGCCGCCGCCTGAATGTCCCTGGCGGTGCAGACTGACGGCGGAGGCAGCGGCGGAAGGTGGTGCACCTCGTCGGGGAAATTGAGCTGCGCCTTGCGTCCCTTCAGGCAGTAGGCGGCGACGTCGTAGGCCTTCGCCGCCATCTCCGGCGCCGAGAAGGAACCGAGCCATATGCGAGACTTCTTGCGTGGCTCCCGAATTTCAGACACCCATTTGCCCCACCGCCGCTTCCGGACGCCGCGGTAGACAGGGTGGCGCGTCCCCACGCGCGGGTTATCGGATTTCGAAACGGCGCTGGTGGCTGCGGCGGTTACGTCATCTTCGGTAGCGCAGTGTGGCTGTTGCTCCATTCAGAAATTTTACATTAGCAACGTTTTTTTTTTTTGTCTCTGCTATTATCTTCTGCATTTATAATAAGCTCTACAATGACAAACGATGTGAAATTACGGATATAGCCCTGAAGAGAGAGAGAGAGAAAGAGAGAGAGAGAGAGTGAGGAGATAGAGACTCATTCTTTTTTTCCACGTAAAGGACCAGCATGCATTTAAAGATGGCATTGGCATATTTTGGTCCTTCACTCCATCACAACGCGCAGCAATAGCACGAGTAATGACATAATTTTTAGGACCAATTTCTTTTTTCTTTTTTTTGGTAAATATTTTTAGGACCAATTTCAACTATTCCTATAGTAGTTTAAGAATAAAAAATATTACATTAAATTTTGACTATTAATTTACTTAAATCTAACAGCTTAACTATCTAATAAATCGGAGTCGTTAATTATATTTAGATAAATAATTAAGATTAAGGGGATAACTTATACCGTTATAAAATAATCTTGACATATATATATATGAATAGGATTCTTTGACACTGATGTCAAATTTAAAGTTTGATACCTTATCTGAAAGCGCGGTTAGATAAAAAAAGATCAACAACTCTGATTTGAAAGCATGTGACATCATTGATCTTTTTTGATCTAACAGCTTTCAGATGAGGGGTCAAATTAATTTTAAATTTGACACTGGTGTCAAAGGATCCTACCCCATATATATATATAAGAAAAACATTTCTACAGTCACTTGAGATAAGCTTATCTCAAACTTGTTGGACAAGTGGTTTCAATACTCAAGAGGGGGGTGAATTGAGTTTTACAAAATCTTTTCGCAAAGTATCTCCTTTGAAATTTTAAAGACTATTTCTTCAATAAAGTGATTTAATAAGGAAAAAATCTAAGTGTGAGAGCAAGTGTAGAGATTAACAAAGTAAGCAAGCGAATTAATAAAGACTATCTAAAGATGCAATTTCAATAATAAAGTAAAGAGGTAAAGATTAGAGAAATTACAAACTAGATGTATCCTGGTTCGGTCACCACCACCGTGACCTACGTCCAGATTGAAGCCGCTCGATCAATTCTTTTCACTAACTATCAAGCTTGAGGGTGCTTGACAAACCTCTAGAATCTTTCAAGACTTCGGGCTCTTGATGCCTCACAATTTTTCACTCCAAATTTACTTAAGAATTTGGTAACCTCTCAAGTATAGGGTTCACTCCCCTCTCAAATCAAGAAGTAATATTGAGGTGATTAGAAGTGGCTAAGTACTCTCAAAGTACAGATTGAACAAATTGAAGAACTAAGAGATGTATAACTTCAAAGGAAAGATGAGCTCAAGTGTATGCAATGATCAAAGTAAGTCATTAATGAGCAATAAAAGGCTAGCAAATAAATGATCTAGGGTCGTGTATTGTTCATCCCAGCTGATGTGGGTATTTATAATGACACCTCATAAGAAAACTAGCGGTTTGTAGCCGTTGTAATCCGTACATATCCGGATATTTATCGGGCACATATCCGGATATTTTTGGTTCCATATCCGGATATTTTTGTTCCATATCCGGATATTGGATATCCGAATATTCTAAGTGAAATATTCGGATATTTCATGGCAGCATACTTTTTGTACGAATTCTGAGTTTCTTCTCTTTCCAAATGATTTTTATGACTTGTAATGCATGTTATTGGTTATGGAAATTATCTAGAAAAGTTTGTATCACGTATTGTCTTGATTTTTCTTTTAAGGATGCATGCTTTTGAAATATATGAGTGATGAATGACCTTGAGCTCATGCAATGCTTTGTATCTATACATCTTTACATATTTTTCTTAAGTCCTAAATAAATATATCATTTGAGATTTTGGACTTGGATTGATGCTTGAGACTTGGTGCATGCTTTCACATTTGCTTTTTGAATATTGCTTCGTCTTTGAATCATTCCTCTTTGTTATCATCAAATCGTTGTTGATGTGGAATCATCAAGTGTACGTTGTATCCACATCATCACTTTGATTCATCAAAACTATCCCTTTTAGCTATGCATTACGAGTAGTACATTGTTATAATATTAAATTTACTTTTTTCTCTCTTTCCACGTTAGCAGACAAGTTCTGAAAAGTGACTGAGGAGAGAAAAAAAATAATTTTAACGTTAACTATGTACTACCCGTAGTACATAGTTAAAATGAGTAGCTTGATATAAGTTTATCTCAAGTGGTTGGAGAAATATTAACGTGTATATATATATATATATATATATATATATATATATATATGAAAAAATATTACTACAGCTACCATTTATAACTATGTTCTCCTGGGAGAACATGATTATAACATTAAAGTTGTTTTTTTTTCTCTCTCCACGTCATCAAACAAGTTCTGAAAAGTAACTGAGGAGAAGGAAAAAAAGTAACTTTAATGTTATAATTATGTTCTCTCGAGAACACATAGTTATAAATGATAGCTGTAGATAACCTTATCTAAAGTGGCTGTAGAAATGTTTACCCCATATTATATATATAGGGGCGGGGTATCCTTACACCGGTGTAAGAGTTAGAAGTCTTACACTCAATCTTGACCATTGATCCACTTGTATCCAATGACTCACATTACTAAAAAATTAGAACCCTTAGATATAAGTGAGATCAACGAACAAGATTAAAAGTGTAACTTACACTGGTGTAAAATGATCCTGATCTATATATATATATATATATATATATATATATATATATATATGAAGATGATGATGAAACTTTAGATTGAACTAAAGTTATATTTAAATGATTAATTAACTTGTCCAATGGTAATTTATGATATCCAATTATTTGTTAAAGGTATCGTGTAAAGCGTAATTGTAAGATTGCACAATTGGTTTTTATAGAGGGGAGATGTCGTCTCAAATTGAACTATCAGTTTTATCCATAAATAATCATGACAAAAATATATATGCACTTTCGGTTGCTACTTTTCTTGTTCCTCCTTTTATGAGTGAACATAGACTTAACAAACTTGCCTTAAAAAAATACAACATCAAGCTCACGGGTGAGCAATTGTGTAGAAGACGCATGAAAGTTTGAAATTAATGCCCAATAACTCATTTAACTTGAATAAGATACTACACTTTCCAAAACAAAGTAAGGCCTGATTTTCTTAAACTTAAACCATGATACTCGACATGCAAATAAATTAGACTAAATTATCATGGGACAATCATGAAATGTAATGTGGAATTGTCACTTTTTTTCCAGCCAAACGTTGAAATGAATACTAATTGAAGAATTCTAGATGAATGGCGGTGAGAATTGGAGAAACAAAAACCAAAAGAGAGAGAAAAAAATAAAAAAAAAATAAAAAATGTCCTAGAATGATTAGACATTTTAACAATCAGTTTGCAAGTTGGAAGAAGGACAAAGAAACGTGAAATTCAAAACGAGGGGAAAACAAATTGGACCCATAATGATAACACACACCAACAAGCCGCGCGTGGTGAACCCCACAAAATTCATCACCACCACAGCCTCCAATGGTCAAGGGAAGAGAGGTAGATACATGAAGGACAGTGGGACATGGTGAACCCCACAAAATTTATCACCACACCAAGGAGCCTTTTGAATGAAGCCACTTTTCAAACTTGGTTGCACGGGATTAAGGTGAGTTGAGTTGTTCCCTTCTTATGCTTCAATTTTTTTATGGGCTTTTGGTGGGTGGGGTGAACTTTTTGATTGTGAGGGGTTGATGGGTTTGATGTGAACAAACAAAAAGCCCATGTGTCACTCTTGTTGCCAATTGTGTTCTAGTTGGCCAATTAGCTTTTGAGCATGGAGATAGAGAATTTGAAAACGATCGTTATTTTTTTGGATCCCATGAACCATCTTTCTCTTTATATTAATCAATTTTCAAACCCACATAATATGCTACCTACCAACAATTTTCCATTATGATTAAATTTAGTTATAGACACTAGACAGCAACAAATTATGCCTTTGGTGAAGAGAATTTAATGTTTAGCAATAGACTATAACACCCCTTTTATAGGTGCCAATAATTAATTAATTATATAAGTGAAAATTGTCAATACCCAAGAAAGTTCAGCTTGTCTCAAATTTAACTCACGATAAGTCTTAGACCAAATTTTGATCATTAATTTTCCTGCATCTAACGACTTAAATATCTCATAAATTAGAACAGTTAGATATAAATAAAATCAACGATCAAATTTGAGAGTATAACTTACATCGCTATAAGAATAAAAAGTCTTACCAAATCTTAACCAATTGATTTCTGTACATCTAACTTTTAAGATTTATTGGGTCATTTTAATTAATTAATTATTAATTTTCAGTAAATTATACACGTATGATGGACGAAAATTAACGCTTAAAATTTGGTATAAGATTTATTATTCTTACACTCGGGTAAAAATAATAAATCTTACACCAAATATTAACTTTTGATTTTCCTCTATTCTACGGGAATAATTTATTGAAAATTAATAATTAAATAAATAATTTAACCTAATAAATTATGACCATCCGATGGAGGAAAATCAACGGTTAAGATTTAGTATAAGATTTATTATTCTTACACTAGTGTAATGCCTCTCTCTCTCTCTATATATATATATATGTGTGTGTGGGAAATTTTTAACTCCAGTATAAGATTAAAAAGTCTTACTCCTTTATTTCCAAAAAAAAAAAGTCTTACTCCTTATTCAGTCATTGATTTTTATTCAGCTGATAATTGTAATTTATTGAGTTATATTTATTAATTAATTTTTAATTCCAAATAAATTATAACCATTAAATAGATGAAAATCAACAGTTGAGATAAATAATAAATTTGTTAATCTTATACTAGAGTCAAATGATTATGGACGATTATAAAATAACATCAAGTGAGAGACATTGATTTGATTTTGATCCAACATTAAAAAAAAATGATTGTAAGAGATTGTAAAGAAAAATAAGTTGTATGTATAACCTCCTTATATATATATATATATATATATATATATAT